AAGAAGCAGTTATATAAGGGAATAGACCTTGGTGGCTAGCTTTAGGACTGAAATCTAGCAGTTTAGGAATGAAGAGGGAATAGGGGAGGGCAAGGTCTGCCAGAGCTATGTTTACCAACGTGGGCCTACTAAAGCCCTTCAGGATGCCTGTGGTTGATGCTTACACTCAGGAAATCACAAGACATTGAACCTGAAGAATTCTTCTTTGTTGCCTGGGCAGTGTGAGATATATGTGTGTGGTGGTCACTTGAATGAAAGTGACCCCCATAGACTGATAGGGTGGGGCATTATTGGAGGTGTGGTCTTGTTGGAGGAAATGTGTCATGGAGGGTGGGCTTTGAGGTCTCAAATGCTCAAGCCACACCCAGTGTCTCACTCTCTTCCTGCTGCCTGCCTCTCAGCTACCTCTCCAGCACCATGTCTGCCAGCATGCCAGCATGCTTCCCACCATGACAATAATGGACTAAACTCTGAACTGTAAAAGAGCCCCCCAGTTAAGTGTTTTCCTTTGTAAGAGTTGCCATGGACAACTGGGCAGTTTTGGCCACATCTTTAATCCCAGCACTCAGGAGGCAGAGGCAAGTGGAGCTCTGTGAGATTGAGGCCAGCCTGGTCTACAGAGCTAGTTCTAGGACAGTCAGGGCTACACCGAGAAACCCTGTCTCAAACTTAAAAATGGTCATGGTGTCTCTTCACAGCAATAAAAACGCTAACCAAAACAGAAGTTGGTACCAGGAACTGGGATATTGTGATAGTCCTGACCATGCTTTTGTTCGGAGGAAAGTGGACTTTGGAACTTTGAATTAGAAAAATAGTTGAATGCTTAAGTGGAGCTTAATGGGCCATCGTAGTAAGAGCATGGAAGGCAGTGGTGCTGAGGGTGATTTGAGCTGTGGGGGCCTGGCTCAACAGGTTTCACAGGAGAAGAAGTATGTGGCCTAGAGACCATTCTCGTGATATTTTGACTAAGAATGTGGTTGCTTTCTGCCTTTGTCCAGAAAAATCTGTCTGAGGTTACAATGAAGAGTTTTGGATTAATTGAGCTAGCAGAGGAAATCTCAAAACAGCCTAGTAATGACTCTGTCATTCACTCTTATGCAGATCTATAATGAAAAGGAGCAAACCGAGCAAGGAAAAAAACAAAATGTATAGTTTGAGGAGAAAGGGGGCACCAGGAAGTTGAATGGAGCTAAGTCCTGTGTTCAAGGAGATAAACAGATGAAAGGAAATCCTGATGTTAAATGGAAAAAAGTGAGTGGTGACCTCAGGGTCACCTAAGCAAGCTAAGCTTCCAACTTGTGAAAAGGAATTAAAGAAAAGTTTAGAGCTGGGGGTGGTGATGCACACCTTTAATACTAGCACTCCAGAGTCAGAGGCAGACAGATCTCTGAGTTTGAGACCAGCCTGGTCTACAGATCCAGTTTCAGGACAGCCACACTTAAGTGGTGAAGGAAACCATTGAAAACAGAAAGCAGGTGAAAATGTATTTGAAAGAGGGGGCCATGTTTCAGCCCCAGCAAGCAGCAGAGCTTGGCGGCTTTGGCCATGTGGTTCTGACTTTAGAGTCAAGGATAGAAGAAAGGGGTTACGGAATCTCCCTCTTTGACTAAGAAATGTAGATGGAATTTTCTCCAGTCCTGCCTTGCCCAACAGTCCAGATGATCTATCCCATCCATGGTCCCACAGCTGCTTATAAAATAATTACACAGAGGCTTGTATTAATTACAAACTGTACGGCCTATGGCTTTGGCTTCTTGCTAGCTAGCTCTTTCATCTTAAATTAATCCACTTTTATAAATCTATATGTTGCCACGTGGCTGTAGCATTACTGGTCTGCTGGCATCTTGTTGCTCCTTCAGCGGCGGGCTCAAGTCTCTCCTGACTCCACCCCTCTTCTCTCTGAATCTTTGCTTGGATTTCCCACCTGGCTGTAAGCTTTCTTGCCATAGGCCAAAACAGTTTTATTTATTATCCAACAAGAGCCACACATATTCACAGCATACAGAAAGGTATCCCACAGCAAAGGAAAGCCACTGAGGCCAGATCAGGGGTGTCCCTACATGGAGGCCTAGAAAGGCCATTGTGTGAAGCTGTAAAGGTGAAGCTTGGATTTCCTTGGAGACCCCAAGTGTCAGAGATGTTGGAGATGCCAGTGTCGTGGGACACCTGCCAAGGAAAGCTGCTAACAGGAAGTGGAACCAGCCCAAGAGAAAAAAAAAATGTGTTGCAGTCAACAAAGCTGAAAGGAGTTGGAGATCTGAAGAACATTTTGACATCAGACATGGAGATACAGAGTTTGGAGTTTGCCCAGCTGGTTTTTGTCTTGCTTTGGTCCATTTCCATAGCCTTCCTCACTACGCTCCCTTTCCTCCCTTTTGGAATGATAATGTATATTCTGTGCCATTACGTGTTGGAAGTATGTGATTTACTTTTTGGTTTTGGTTTTTTGTTTTGTTTCTTTTTTTTTCTTTTTTTTTTTTTTTTTGGTTTTTCGAGACAGGGTTTCTCTGTGTAGCTTTGCGCCTTTTCCTGGAACTCACTTGGTAGCCCAGGCTGGCCTCGAACTCACAGAGATCCGCCTGGCTCTGCCTCCCGAGTGCTGGGATTAAAGGCATGCGCCACCGCCACCTGGCTGGTTTTGGTTTTATAGAGCATTATAGTTAAGAGATTTCATGAGTCTCAGAAGAGACTTTGAACTTTGGGTTTTTAGACAATGTGGAGACTGTTAAAGACTATGAAGACTTTTGAAATTGAACTAAATGTATTTTGCATTATGATATGGCTACAATCCTATGGGGACCAGGGAGTGGAATGTGGTGGTTTGAATAAAAATGGCCCCCATAGACTCATGAGGAGTGGCACTATTAGAAGGTGTGGCCTTGTTGGAGGAAGTGTGTCACTGGGGGTGGACTTTGGGGTTTCAGATGCTCAAGCCAGACCCAGTGTCTCACTCTCTTCCTGCTGCCTGCCTATTCAGATGTAGAACTCTCAGCTACCTCTCCAGCAACGTGTCTGCCTCATGCTACCCTGCTTCCTTCCATGACAATAATGAACTAAACCTCTGAACTGCAAGCCAGCCCCTATCAAGTGTTTCATTATGAGAGTTGCTGTAGTCATGGTGTCTCCTCACAGCAATAGAAACCCTAAGACAGTGTGAGGACCCAAGAAAGGGGCTGGGCCTGTGAAGAGCTGAGCAACCTCAGAGAGCCCCCCACAGCCTGACTCTGTTTCCCAGCTTCCTGTGCAGTCAGGATGCCCATGTGACTGAGTCCTGCCAAGGACACACAGCACAATGGGTGTACACTCTTTTCATCATCCCACAAACCTCCCTTCTCTTCCAGGGAGGAGTTCAGACACTGGAGGAGGGCAGGACCAGGAGAAGGAAGGCTCTCGGTCCCTGGATATCCACGTGGGAGGCCCTCCATTGATCAGACCGTTGGATGTGCCTATATGAGAAAGAACTGTCCTATTGAATGAACATTCTAGGCCTAGCTCTGGACCTGGGGATGAGCAGTGATCTTGTGCATGGCTAAGCCAGGTTGGTGGAAGCTTGGGGACAAATCCCTGGCTTTTCTGTTGGTATTTGTGTACCTGCCTCCCAAGCCTTGCATCCACCCATAGGTTGACCTTACACAAGTCTCTTTATATTTAAATGTCAAACCTTCTCCAGTAAGTGGCATGAGTCATGGGGCCCCATCCTATTTCACAGTGACACAGACGACAAGGAACCAAGGCAGACACTGTTGGTGAACATTTATTTTCCCAGAAGTAGGAGAGGAGGTGGATCTCAGGGCACTTGAGGCTCTGTGCATGGGCAGTGGGCAGATTAGCACTAATGGTGCTCCTGGTTGGCAGATGCTCCTCCTGGGTTCTGGAGGGACATGAGCCCCAGACACAGCTGTCTGGTTTGGATTGAGCCCTCCGTGGTCCCTTCTTCTGTTAGCTGAGGCTCAGAGAGGTAAAGCAATGTCCTCAGGGTCACATAATCCAGTCATTCTGCTAAGCTGAGCCACATTCCCTCCAGAGAAGCAAGCAGCTTTATTCCATCCCCCAGGACACTCCCCAGGGAAGCACAAATGAGTCCCAAACCCTTGGCATGGCCCAATCACTCAAGAATAATTCCCAACCAAGCTCTTTACCTTAACTATTCCACCCACTGCAGCTACCACAGCCAGCTGCTTTCTGAGGACAAGAATGCATGGCCTTCCCTGAGTCCAGTTCCTAAAACACTCCAACTCATCTATTTGGCCTCCTACATAGTTATCCTCTTTTCCTGTATAAATATGACTAGAGCTTATAATACCAAGCCACGGCAGTCATGACACCATAGCACGAATTTGATGATCAGTTATTCAGTCAAGGAGTCAGGAGAAGTAGGGTGAGGAAGAAAGAGTGAAAACAAAACCTAACATGTGGTTAAAGAGGGATGGAAGTAAAGTTAGGGTTTCACAGTTGACGTGCATAGTCCCTTTCTAACAACCCGGGTCTCTGTGTTGACAGGAAACTGTCCTGTATCTAGAGGTGAGGGGAATGTACTTTTATTGATGGAGTCTGCAGCTCCTTTCAGAATTCTGATTCTGAGTCTGCCCCTGTGCTCCCTGCCCCTGTGCTCCCTGCTCGCTGCCCCTGTGCTCCCTGCTCCCTGCCCCTGTGCTCCCTGCTCCCTGCCCCTGTGCTCCCTGCCCCATGCCCCCATGCTCCCTGCCCCATGCCCCCGTGCTCCCTGCCCCATGCCCCCGTGCTCCCTGCCCCATGCCCCCGTGCTCCCTGCCCCATGCCCCCATGCTCCCTGCCCCATGCCCCCTGCCCCATGCCCCTGTGCTCCCTGCCCCATGCCCCTGTGCTCCCTGCCTCATGCCCCTGTGCTCCCTGCCCCATAGCCCCGTGCTCCCTGAGCCATGCCCCGTGCTCCTTGCCCCATGCCCCGTGCTCCTTGCCCCATGCCCCGTTCTCCCTGCCCCATGCTGGAGACCAGGAGACAGGAGGAACTCTGGTGGAGACCTCGGCCTAACCCCAGGGCTTAGTGGATTAGCCTGAAATCCTGAGAATTCTACTGAGAGAAGGTGGAAGCCATGGAAGTCTGAAGAATGAGGCTTGGCGGGTGCCCACCAGGATTGACTGAAGCCTGAGAGGTGAGTGGCTGGATGAGTGCAAGTGGCAAGAATAACATTCCGGATATCAGCAACCTTCCAGGAAGCGGAACTGAGTAGCACAGACTTGAAGCATGTGGGTCTTCCCTAGGCTGGGGAAAGGGAAGCACCCAGATCTGCAGGACCAGGGCACCAAAGCAAGGGCCGTAGCCTTAGCTAAAGCAGTGCGGAGGGGATGCTGGGAAAGGGCTGGCCAGAATGTGCTCCCTCAGCTGCCATGTTGGCTAGAGGGGCTGGAGGGGCTGGAGGGGAGGTGGGAGGACCAGAGGCCTGGCAGAGTGAGGACCAGGGCATGGAGGTTGGCGAAGGCAGCATTGTTGGCAAGGCTCTTGCTGGACGGCAGTGCGATAGGACTTGCTGAGCCTTCCTGGGAGTGGCCATGCCCATGGTCATCAGGCCTTCCTCACTAGGTCAGTTTGGAGAGAATCCTCTTCACCCAGGACGTGTTGGGGTCAGCACAGATGTCCCGGTTCTTGAAGGTTATCAAACTGTGAGAGACACAGGGAGTGAGCAGGAGCATTAGTGGGCTGGAGACAAAAGGATGGACTTGGGAGCTGGCCTAGTTGGATGGGATTCTAGGTTTGCTCCTTGTTAGCAAGTCAGGTAACTTCTCTGAGCCCTGGTTTCCACCTCTATAAAATGGGGTGACAGTCCTGCCCAGCTGCGTGAGATTTTGATGAAGTTATCAGGATACTACTGACCTGCAAGGGTCACAGCACATAGTAGGTGCTAATAATTGTGTCAGAAAATGTCCTCAACTTCTTACGTTGGCTTTTGTTTCTGTGTGTGTATGTGTGTGTGTGTGTGTGTGTGATGCATGTGCACAGGCATGTAGAGACCAGAGGTTAACATAGAGTGTCTCTCTCACTTGCTGTCCATCTTATGTTTAAATACAGTTCACTGACCTTGAAGTTCCAATTCAGCTAGACTGGCTGGCCAGCAGTATTTCTGTCTTTGCCTCCCCAGCACTCGGATTACAGGCACATGCTGCCAGATCTGGCTTTTTTGCGTGAGTGCTAAGTATCCAAACTTAGGATCCTCTAGCAAGCACTTTACTGACTGGGCAATTTCCTCGATCCCTTTTATAATAGCTTTCTTAATTCTTACAACAATTTCACGTGTCCCTAGTCTACCCACAGATGTAAAGAAATTTGGCCGAATATAAGGAGTAAAGTATGTCTGAGGTGGGAACTGGACTGTGACTTTGTAGAACGTCCCTTCCAGGCCTCTTTGAGAGTCCTAGAGCATCTGGTGGAGAAATAGGTTTGCCTGTGGTGATGGAAGAGTTAACTGTCAGTCAACAGTATCTAGGATCACTTTGGAGACCTCTGGGCATGCCCATGGGGATATCTTATTTTAAGTGATGTGAGAAGACCCATCTTAATTGTGGGTGGGACTCTTCCCCGGGCAGTAGAGCCTGGATAAAGTGGAGACACAAGCTGAGCATGTGCATTCATCCCTTTCTGTCTCCTGGTTGTGGATGAGAGTGACCAGCTGCTCCTGCCACCTTGATTTCCCTGCCCCGATGGCCTGCACCGTGAACTGTGAGCTAAAACAAACCCTTTCTCCCCTAAGCTGTTCTTGTCAGAGTATTTTATCACAGCAATTAGAAAAGAAACTCAGCCGCCCACCAAGTGTGGCCCCAAGGCTCCTGCCCTGCACAGCCATAACAAGTACTGGGCCAGACCTGGCCATGGAAGCTGGAGTTGGCAAGGTGGGTAAGGCTGGCTGGGGCCTCTTCTCCCTTTCCATAGCTGCATCCAGCCATCCAGCTGAGAGCTGCTGGCTCCCACATCCCTGACCTGTCCTTGCGTCACAGACCACAAATAAACAGTGCCCGAGGACAACAGCAACACTGAGCTTGGCTTTTTTCTTTTTTTGAGACAGGGTCTCTCTACATAGCCCTTACTGTCCTGGAACTCACTATGTAGACCAGGCTAGCCTTGAACTCACAGAGATCCACCTGCCTCTGCCTCCCAATGCTGGAATTAAAGGTGTGGGCCACCACAGCCAGCCTGAGCTTGACTTCTTGGGCATCTTATGCAAGGCTGGTCCCTCCCTATGCGTTCATCTCCCCATCTGTCAAGCTGTATTTTTCCTAGAGTTCCTTTAGGCTCAGAGTCCGAGGATCACTAGGTCTGTCCTTCACTGAGCATCTGTTGTGTTACAGGCCAGAGCTCTGTGACTTCCACTTGCCGTAGCTGCCCTGTGATGCTGAAGAGACCCTTAAGCTCATGCCACCTCGGCAGTGTGCAAGGGAACCAGACAGACCGTGATTGCTGCACAGGGCTGTTTCTAGCTAAGGGCTTATGTGCCTTGTGCTCAGCACACAATCTTTCTGCACCTGGGGAAACGGGAGTTATGGCTCCACTGAAGTGATGAAAAACAGTCTCAGAGCTGAAGGGCCAGAACCTTGGGAGGGCTCCTGCTCTGCCCTTCTTAACCCTTCTCCAGTAGACATCTCTAAGAGATGGAGTTAGCTGTGGGAGGAGGGAGAGAAGATAGAGAGCCCAAGGGGTGGGGTCATGACCCCAAATCCAAGAACTATCCCAATAGGTGATGTGGCTGGAAGTAGGCTCTAAGGGATTAGACGCAGCCAGATGGGGAACCACAGGAAAAGATGGGTCCTTCTGCCAGGTGGAGAAAGCCGGGGTGCAGAGGGAAGAGAACACTCCTCCCAGGAATACAGGAGCAGCCTGGGAAGCCTTGCCCCATGCTCTTCTTTAGTGAGCCTGCTTGCCATTCCCCTTGCTGAGCCTAAGTCCTCTTCCCTCTCCTGAACCTGGGTCCCTTTCTCTTTGCTGAGCCTGGATCCCTTTTCTTTGCTAAGCCTGAGTCTCCTTCCCTTTGCTGAGCGTGGGTCTCACCTGCAAAATGGGCCAACCTCCCATAGAATTGCTTCAGAGACTGATGAGTTACATAGGTAGTGCTCAGAATAGCCTGAGCACCTGGGTGTCAGCACTTAATAGTATGTCTCTGGCCAAAACGGCTACCTGGAAGAATGCCGGGAGACTGGGAGGACTCAGAATGTCTCAGCAGGGAGTGACTCTAGGCATGCTGCTTGTACCCCTACACCCACAATGCTTCCCATCAACAATAGCCTGTGGCTGTGTACTGCCCACATGTCCATGCCATGCTGGGGTGGTACCCATCTATTCAGCTGCCATCCACAGGTCTGTCATGTTACAGATGTTCAACAATATCTGTTGAATGGTACCATCATTTTGGGATTCAGAACATCTAAGCCTGCCTAAACCATCCCATCCAGCCAAGCCTCCTTGCATTGAAGTTTGCTACATCCTGCCCACCCTTTGTCCACATCTGTCAGGCCCCTCCTCCAAAGCCCTGTGGCCCAGCTTCCTACTCACACAACACCAGGCTTGCGGCAGGACTTTGAGGTCCAGTAGAAGTCCTTCACTACACGTAATGGCAATGGACGACGGATATAGTCTCTGCAGCAAATAGTGTCTTCCACGTTGGTACCATAGGGACCTGGTGGAGGGGTACCCAGGGCACATTAGCTGGAGTGCAGAGATTATGGCCCCAGCCATAATCACAGACTGACCTATAGGGGAAAGATTCTCTTCCACATCAATGGATATCTTCTAGGCCTCATACAAAGATGCCACTGAGAGCTCAGTGTCTACACTCTGGGAAGTGGATTCAGAATGACTGAGCACCAACAGGCTTCTAAACGGGCTCCTGCACCTCTGAGTCAGAGGGAACCCCAGTCACCTTGGATCAGTACGTGGCAGACAGCACCTGCTTCCCAGGAGCTTGTCAGATGCTCGGCCCTGGCCCTGCTCCAGTCCCACCAAGCCTCATGCATGCAACGCAGAATTAGAAATGTCTTCCTCTTCTCTGTGCCCTGGTGAGGCTAGAGCAGGGAAGGCAAGCATCCAAGGTCACAGTGAGACTGTAGCAGAGTCAGACTCAAGGCTCAGTCAGAAGACAGTCACAACAGACCTGGTTCGAGTCCCACTCTGCCCCTGAGTGACCCTAATCACTTGTCATCTCCAAGGCCCATGGAAGAATACCAGTTCCACAGGGCTGTGCTTACATGGGGGCTCTCCAGAAACTTGACCCTGTGAGCAACAATTGGTTGGTTGTAGTTGCCTCATTCTACTGTGGAGACCCTTCTCGTCCAGCCCCAAACAGGGGTGTTGATAGTGTAATAGGAAAGAGGGGTCAGGACCCTGTGTCGACCTCAGGCTCCAGAGCAAACCTTGGGTGTTGGGAGGACATGGCCCACTTTCCAAGAGTGTCTCTGCCTTCCCCAACGGATACCTCGTAGGCCCTGTATCTACTTCAAGAACCCCTATATTTGAGCTGTCTGGGCAGCAGGGTCCCCAGGCTTTGCATATCACAACCCCCAAACCAACTGAGGCAGATCCTAAGCCAAACCTTCCTGACTACCCACTTTATAAACGGGCCCATTTAGAAGTAGTAGCGCTAGCCCGTGGATGCGCCAGAGCTAGCCCAAAGCCACAAGAGCCAATGGCAGACTCACTCTGGGACTCTTTCTAGACACTCCAGTGTCCACCCTCCTACTCCCCAGCTCACCTGCATCGGATGTCTGCAGGGCCACAGCAAGAAGGATGAGAGCCACGAGGAGCGGGGTCCGCAGGCCGGCCATGCTGTGCTTGTCCTTGCCAGGTGTCTTCTGGCCAGAGGACAGGGAGGCCTGGTACTTAAACACTCTCTCCACCCACTGGTTCAGATATCTTAGTCACCACCAAGCCTGACATTCATGCCCTAAAAGAAGAAGTCCTACTTCCCCAGATGGGAGATCCAAGGGCGGGGAACTACTCAGGGGGACTGCCACTCATCCAGACTATGGGTCTCCAGAGACTTGTAAAGTCCCCTCAGCGGTGCTCTCCAGAGGCTCTTTGCCCTGTGACCTCAGCCATGTCGCCAGGGGTCTCCTGGTAGAGATGGGGAGCCCGGCAAAGCCCCACTGCTCCACTCAGTGGCTGTTGGCACATGAATAGCGGACAAGCACAGACTGTTGCCTGGAGCTGAGGCCTTCTTCATGCCTCAAGGCCGGGCATCAGAGTCTCTTTTCAAAGGTGGAGCCCGTGAGCCCTTTGGGTCAGGCTTTTGCCCCATAGCCTCCCTTCTAGGGTTTCTCAGAAAACTCAGCCTCACCGGCTCACGCGGGCTGCCCCTCAGCCTGCACAGAACCTGCACCTCTCAGTTCTTCCTCGTCCACTTCATCCGACCCCCCCTTGCTTTCCCACTGGCTCAACTTGCTTTGCATACAGCCCCTCGTCCCTAGTCCTGTCCATCTCCCCGACCTGCGACCTGCGTGGCCACCAACAGGTTCCCCTCCCCACGCCGCAGCTGGAGTGAGTGTGCGGACTCAAAGGGCCATGTGGCCCTTTCCTACTTTAAAGCCCTCCTGGGGCTCCCCATTCTCCTGAGGTCTGAACCCAAACTCCCGACTAGGACCCTTAAGGCCACTTTTCCAAAACTATTTCCCACAGTCAGAGGGACCACACCACACTACTAAACAGTTCCTCAAAGGGTTCTGTGGCCTGACCCTGACGATGTTTCCACTTTCTACGTCTCTACTGCAGAAACTCCTACTCAAACGTCAAGGACTGCTTGAAATGTCACTTCTTTGGTAAGCCTACTTACTCAGGACTTCACATTCTCCATGTGACCTGGAATGTGGCCCAAGAGGAGCCAGAGGAGACTTTCTTATAAGCACAGGACAGCTGATCTCTTATCGTCCTCAGGATTCAATCTGTTGAGCTGTCTGCAGCTGTCTGTGTGTCAGTTTTGTGAACTGTCACCTGTACTGGGGTGGGCTTTGGTCATGCAGCTGTCTTTGCTCCTGTAAGTAACCTTTCACCCATATTCCTGTGAGTAACCCCCCAAAAACTCATTGTTCACCAAATTGGACCTCAGTGGTGAGGTCTTTGGGTTTGGTCTGTCTTTGGGTTCCATGTCTGGGGTGAGTAGTTGTGTATGTTGCATCTCCCCATGTAAAGTCTTGTCACATAACATTCAACAAATTAGAAAGTTCTAGAGATGGATGGCAGCCATAGTTGCAAACATCCGAACACGTCTAATGCTGCTGAGAGTACTTCACATGGTTTGAAATACTAAATATGTGTTGTGTATTGCATACCAGAAATGTGGCCCTCTCCAAGTCAAACCAAGCTTCCAGCACTAATTTCTAGTTAGAGAAAATACAGGAGCTGGATATGGTGGCTTACACGTGCATTCTCAGCTGCTGGGGAGGGTGGAGAAAAGGGTTGCTTAGGCCCATGAGTTCAAAACCATCTGGATAGTATAGTGAGATCTAGTCTTTAACAAAATAAAAACAACAAAAAACTGGAAGAAGATGTTACCCCACAAAAGCAATTTGCCAAACCCCAAAGGACCTTCAAATCAGCTGTCCCAGATTTTATAGTGTGTGTGTGTGTGTGTGTGTGTGTGTGTGTGTGTGTGTGTGTGTACATACATCTATGCTTCAAAAATTAGGGCTGGTCATGGTGGTATATACCTGTAATTCTAGCACTGAGAAGGCTGAGGCAGGAGGATGCCTGTGAGTTTGAGACCAGTCAATGACCCTACAACATAAAGCTGGGGTTGCAGAGATGGTTCAGTGGACAAAATGCCTGTTGCGCATGTGTGAAGACCTGAGTTTTGGTCCCCAAGACCCGCAAAGGTCAGACACATGACTGCAATCCAAGTGCTCCATGATGAGATGGGAAGTGGAGCCAGGAGGGTCCCTGGAAGCTAACCTGACTCACAAAGTGATGAACAAGAAACTCTGTCCCAAAAAAAGGTAGAAGGCAAGTGCCAATGCCCGAAACTGACCTCTATCAAAGACCTTCCGAAGCCCGGCATGGTAACTCACTCACAGTCTCAACATCTGAGTGTGAGATAGGAAGATCACCGTGAGTTTGAAGCCAGTCTGTGCTATACAGTGAGTTCTAGGGAAGCACGGGCTAGATTTAGACCCAGCCTCAAAAATAAATAAATAAATAAATAAATAAATAAATAAATAAATAAATAAACAAATAAATAAAACAAACAAACAAACAAACAAATAAATAAATAAATGAAACCAAAGACCTTCCAGAAATAATTGGGGAAAGTGGAATGCAGACTGGTATTGGCTGCTACTGTGTCTTAGAGTAAATTTGCTTCGTGCATTGAAGACCTTAGGGTGTGTAAGAGCTGGTCTCGTTCCCAAAGACGGCCCACAGAGATATTTAGGAGTGAGAATCATGATTTCACAGTTGGGGGAAAACACATGGTGGTAAATGTAAAATGTGTATGTGACACCTTTGGCTGTGGTATCAAATACACACATGTGTACACAGATTGATAGAGAGAGTACTGTGTATGTATAGACTTATATGCATGTGCGAGATAAGCATGTGCCCGAGATGTCTATGTGAATGTACACATGTGTGTCTAGAGGGAGAAGCAAAGCCAGAACGGTAAGACGAGGTCGCTAACAATGGTGGGACTTGGTCGCATGCTGAACTAGTCTAACAGCACACTTGACCATCGAACGTGTGTCTCATTGAGCTTGGTGGTACACTCCTATAGTTCCAGCACTCAGGATACTGAGGCAGGAGAATCGAGAGTTTGAAGATAGCCTGGGCTACATAATAAGACCCTATCGTGAAAACAAGAAAAACAAAAACAAAGATCTGTCTTTGTTTTGAGGCAGGGTCTTTCTGTGAAGCCAGGCTGGCCTCCAGCTTACAGCCATTCTCCTGCCTCCATCTTCTGGGTGCTGGGAATGCAGGTGTGTATCACCATGGTTCATGCCAAAAATAAAGGTGTGTGTGTGTGAGTGTATGTGTGTGTGTGTGTGTGTGTGTGTGTGTAATAGAGTCTCATTATATTGTCCAGACTGATTTCTTTATGTTGTTCAAACTTCTGAACTCAAGTGATCCTTCTGCCTCAGCCAAAAAATTTTTCTTTAAAAGACTTTTTTTTTTGCATTTATTTCTTTACTTATTGGGAATATGGGGGCAAGATCTATGCTTCCATCATGTAGATTCTTGGAATTAATCTCTAGTCATCAAGTTCGGCACCAGCACCTCTGCCCTGTGAGCCATATCACCGGCCCAAGAATTATTTTTGCATGTGAAACTCCTCTGTGAGCAACGTCTATCAAAAGAGCAGTGTAAGCAAGTAACCCTTGGGGCTTTCTTAGGGGGCCTCTTAGGGCCCAGGGCCCTCCATGGTGGGCCTGGGGGTCTCCCCCTGGAGAACACCTGGGTCCCCAGGGACTTGGCAGGTCCCAAAGCTCTCATCCTGGCCCAGCCTGTGGGCTTAGTGCTGGCCCCATTCGCCCTGCCCTGGGCACACCTGCAGCCTGGCATCCTCTGAAGACCAGGGCTCTTGGCCTCCCTGACTGGAGGAGGGGCGGATATGGAGTTAAAGGAGCCCTCATACCCAGTCAGAGCACAGAGCATGGGGATGAGCTTTCAAGGGAAGGAGGGGGAATTCTTGGGACTGCATGTGGTAAAGCCCCAGGACATACAGTGGTGGTAGGGATAGGGACGGGTCTCTAATGATGGAGGGGCTGATCTCTTCTCCTCCTGGTGGTCACACTGCCTCACTTTGTACCTTACAAAGTATAGAATCTCCCAGATAATCCTCTTGTCCCAACTTCTTTTTTTGTTTGTTTGTTTAAATTAATGTTTGTTTGTTTTGGAGAAAAGATCTCACTATGTCGCCCCAGCTGGCCTCTGTAGACCAGTCACTATGTAAACTAGGCTGAACTCAAACTTGCAATGGTCCTCTTGTCTCTGCCTCCAGAATATTGGAGTTACAGTTGTGTGCCAGCATTCCAAGCTCTAAATTAATTTTTATTTATTAAAAGCATAAAGCAGGAGTGCTGGTAGTACATGCCTTTAATCCCAGCACAGGAAAGACAGTGACAGGTGGATCCCTGTGGCTTTGAGGCCAATCTGGTCTACATAGTGATTTCCAGGACAGCAAGGGCTGTCCTGTCTAAAACAAACAAACAAATAAACAATAACAGCATCAAAACCGTAAAGCAGAACCTGGTGGCAAGTACCAGTCATTCAAGGTGCTTAGGAGGCTGAGGCAGGAGAATTGCTTGAAGCCTGAGAGTTAAGGATCTGCCTGGGCATCATAGCAAGACTCCAGAGAGACAGAGGAGAGGGAGATGGGGAGATAACTTAGCAAAGTGTTATGCTCAAACACAAGGACCTAAGTTCAGATCCCCAATACCTGAGTAAAAAGCCAGTGACAGGGTTGGGGCCATAGAGACAGGAAATGCCTTGGGGCCTGCCGGCCAGCAGAAACAATCCAGTGAAAGCCATAAACTCCAGGTTCAGAGATAGACCTTAACTCGAAAAATAAGGTGAGGGCTAGAGAGATGGTAGCTCAGCTGTTTAAAATGCATACCCTACTGCAGGGGATCTGAGTTCAGCTCCCAGCATTCACATCAGGTGGCTCACAACCACCTGTAACTCCAGGTCCAGGAGATCAGATGCCCTCTTCTGGCCTTTTGGAGAACTGCACTCATGTGCATATACCCACATATAGACACACACACACACACACACACACACACACACAATTTAAAAATTAAAATTTACACCTTAAGGCAGGGAATGGTGGCGCATGCCTTTAATCCTAGCACTCAGGAGGCAGAGGCAGGTAGACCTCTATGACTTTGAAGCCAGCCAGGTCTACAAAGTGAGTTCTAGGACAGCCAGGGCTGTTATGCAGAGAACCCTGTCTTGAAAAACAAACACAAACACAAAAATAAAAACAAAAAATACTTCTTAAAAAATAAGATGGAGAGTAATTGAAGAAGTCACCTGACATGGCTTGAACCCTCCACATGCACATGTACACACACACACACACACACACACACACACACACACACACACACACCAAAAGAAGAAGGAAGGGGGAATAAGAGGAAAGAGAGGAGGGAAGAAAAGAGGAAATGAGGAAGGAGGGGAGGAAGAAAGGAAGGAGAGAGGAAAGAGGGGGAAGGGGAGGGGCGCTCAGCAAACATGCACCTCGCTTCTTTTCACCTACAATGCATGTTGGCTGCAGTCCCCTGAGCCCCATTGTCCTTCACAGTTCCGTGGTTCTCTGCTGTGTACATAGGGTACATGGTCAATGTCCCACTGGTAGACAAACTGGGGGTTTTCTAGATTTTGCCTTTACATAAAAATGCCCA